AATAGTATTGTTGAGGGAAAAATATAGCCAGACAAAATTTGATTTAGTCTATTGTATCTAGGATTTTTGCCCCCTGCTAAAAGAGAAGAAGCTAGAGAAGTATAAAAAAACATAGCTTGGGAGTATTGTGGAGCAATCAATCAAACTACAGACAAATCAAAGTAAAATAAAGTTAAATCCTTCCCAACAGAATTCTAGATAGCACAATGTGAGAGCATCAACTTCATATAACTAAAGAATGTTTACGAATATTTAAATGACTTCTCTGGAACAAAAAGCTCTTACCCAACTCTGAATGGCCTTGCAACTGAAAATACACTCTATTTGGTATTTCTTTCCACTTGTTTTAGACAGCATTGATAGTTTTCTCAGAAGATACTATCACTGTTTGGCAGAAACATACTCGCAAAAATAAACTCAATCCAGAAAAGTTTCCAGGGATGCCTTTGCATACAAACATGGACAGTGACTCTTGCCCATATCTAAAATAAAACACACTGGCTGTAAAACTTCCTTTGCTAAATATAAACATCCTAACATTGATAAGCTTTACAGAAAGAGAAACTGATTGCCAAATATTTCTACCATCACCAGTATTTTAAGAGCACCCTCTACAGTTACAAAACACTATCTAAGCAAGCAAAGCTCTTCTACCTAAAGAAAACACTGCTAACTGGAAAGTGGAGTATCAGTTTAGTTTATCAGTATAGTGCCAACTCTATATGAACAGATCTCTGCAAGTGCTCTAAGTCCCAGTAAAGGTGAGCAGACTTCGCATGACTTCCAAAGATAGAACCTATCTCATCACTGAAGGCTCCCTATTTGAGGATTTAAAATACCTTAAGTATTCTGGGCTGACTCATAATTAGGTTATAAACTTCTTAAGACAATGGATGGTTGCAGGATCTGAACTAAAAATGCCATACAAGACAGTGTTTTTTATTTTCAAAAGAAAGCAAGGAATACACCATGGTAAAGGCCAAGATGAACTAGTTCCCCTGAGTTCATTTCATTTGTTTGCTTGTTCTTGGTTTTAGTTCTCAGAATGCATTTTGTAAGAGTTGTGCAAAACAAGTACATAGTTCAGAAGTGGAACTGAAAAATTTAAAACAATTTAATTCTCCATGAAATGCTTATTATACACATGTACATTCTACTGTGCAAACATTTGTGTCCTGCTTGATTTTGGGTTTTGATTAGCATTTCCCGTAAAGCACACGAGGATTCCTTCCTAGACCTTCAAAGTGAGGAGAGACAGTGCCTCTGACATCCTCACACACTTTTCAGCAACCTCTCCATTTCATGCAGACCCTTCTACTGGCTCCTGACATGGTGAATCTGACACTGTGGTAATATAATTTGTTGCTATTGCAGTGTAATCCTTTTTTTTTTTATAGGTTAAAAGACTGCTTTTAAATGTTGCTCATTTATTTTTTTAAATATATACTGGATATATTTTTTCAGTTAAGAGACGGCTGACTTTATTCTGCTATGGTTTCCACGCTTCCAAATGTGTAAAAAAGTTGCCTGTCTGTTTGCTACCTTTTTATTTCCCCCCCGCTGAAAAAGAAAAAGCAAAGGATTTCCACATCACTCACTCATTTTCCCTTTCTTTTCCCTGCTTTGGTCTCCAAATGCTATATGCAGCCCTAAGTATTTTTCCATGTTTCATTTTGAATAACTGTTTATGTCCTATTGAAATGAGTAGGATTGAAGAAGGTATTTTGAGTATGTTTAAGCAGTTTTCTGCATCAGTCCTGACAAAACAAACCCATGAATGTTAGAAATTCCAACCCTCTAAAATTTATCTGCCTTAACCTGTCTTTCTCAGTCTTGCCTAGATTGCAAAGATACAGATTATTTTTTGTGTCGTTACTACATCAGTAATTAAGCTACTGCAGGTGAAACAGGAGTGATGCCTTAGCTTTAAAGCTGAAGAATCTGTATCTTTGTAAGTTGATTCTTAAAGTTTTTTGGATGGGGCATTATTGAAATGTTTATACCTCTTCTAAAATATTGCTTCACAAAACTATTTAAATTATATTACTTCACCTGATTAAGAAAGTGGCTAGAAATAAAAACAATTTTAAGAATATTAAAGATAATCCTTTTCGGACTTTCAAGCTACTTCGCTGTAGGCGTGTCAAAGGACCAGAATGGTTAAAATGATGGTGGCCACCGGGTGGTGCTATTGCACAACGTCATAAAAATACTGGCCAACACCAGAAGATCGTGCTTAACACTTCTGTAGGCTTGCAAATGTTTCCTTATCTTTGTCCAAAAGTGTGTGTGTGGGGGGGGGGAGCGCATTAAGATATACATACATGACTATAAGTAAAAAATAAGATTTTTTTCACATGGGATAGGGACAATTTCATCCCTGTTCCAAAACCTACCTGGGTCTAAACCCAAGAACATATTTAACATTTCACCTCCCTATTGAAATAATTTTATTTCAGTGGTAATTAGGAGCCTAAATTCTTTACTGGATATTGACCCTTAGTTCTTACCAAAGACAAACACACATTTTTAAGAAAACTGAATATAAGATGCAATGTCTACAAATCTTTGTGTGACTAAAAGGATTAACTGATACATTAAACTAAATAAAACTTTGTCCTGCTATATTTTTAATCAACAGTACATTTTAGACATGGAAATATTAATTTTGTTCTTATGTGCTGTCTTCCTTGGTACACTAGGTGTGTGTTAAATTGCCTGCATACCCTAAGCCAAGATAATCTTTGATATACATTGTAAACAAAAGCAAGATACTTAAAAGATGGTCAAACAAGATTTGGAATTAATATTTCTGAAGTGGAATATATTCTGTCTCCATGATGTTATCTTTGGATGCCAATCATAAGAATTTAGATCTTATTTCTGCAAATATGTATGTGTTAGGTTAACCTTTAAATACATAAAAAATTTGCTTAACATTACACGTATGCATGTTATTTCAGGATGAGAGACAGAATTGTTAAATTACTCAGACAGTCTCCGCTTTATCTTGCCATGATATATGTTTTTGGTTTCAGCATAGCACATTCTGTATTCTTTTCTTGTGATTAAATCTTTTGTTTACCTAGATCATAAAGCATTTTTTGGTATGGATCTGTATCTGCATGGAGCTCTGCAGTGCCTGGTACAAGGTCCTAATGCTGAGGGTGTTATTATAAAATAGGTAAGAGCAATAGTTCAGAGCTACATGCGTAAAGACCATAGGGGCCATTTAATTTACTACATTACTATTTCTGTGATAGATTAATCAGCGTTTACATTTGCAATGACTGAAACAATGTGTTATGTGTTATCAAACTTTGTATTGTATTTTCCCCTCAGCAACTTTTATAGTCAATGGTATCTTCATCTCGCCTCGCACCTTTGAATACTGTATCTCACTCATGATTTTAATGTAGATAAGATTAATAACTGCACATTCTAATATTCAGTAGGAGGAGTATTTGGAAACTTGAGCTAACTAAAATGAAATTAAATTATATAGAAGACAAGTTACAGTTTAAATCTTCATCTCCTAACTTTTTCCTCACCATGGATTAGCTAACATAAAGTAAAACCAGGTATTTTTCCCCACTCAAGACATCTGAAAATGTTAATCTCTTGTTCTACAATTTTATCTGTCTTTTTATACATTTTACTTACCGCATCTTATTCTCCTGCAATGTAAATATGTTCTTGAATAGCTACCCTAATGGCTGAGACTTTTCAGGCTTTCTCAGAATGTTGTTACATGCCTCTCCACACTGCACGCTTGGGTTAGAGCTAGAGGGGACCCAGTGCCCTGGGCTGCACCAGCAGTGCCCTGCGTGTTTGACAGCTGTACACATGGGAGGATGGAGAAATGGGAGAACAAGAGATGACAAAGGTGAAAAACAGGGGCTACCCCCAAAAAGAAAAAGGATAGAGAAGGAAGGGAAGGGAGGCCAGTGTGAAAAGAGGGGAATAAATAAGAAAGGTGGAAGATGAAGGGCGTCCCTCTCTGGCTAGTTGTCTTTCAAGGGAAAAACAGAGATCATACATTAAAAAGCATCTGGTCACAGTGTAAAATTAAATTTCTTCAAATAACCCAAATCCTCCTTTGAAAGTAAATTTACACCACAGTAAATTTTGTATTTAAAATAGAACTGTTCCTTGGTGTTCTATGATAGCCAAAGCAGTCTGATTTTTATAAAAGGGTTCTTTCTCATGCTCATATAACCCAAAAGTGCTTTGTTAAGTTTGTTAAAATGGTTGAGATAGATAGAATTTTAGAATCTACTCTGTAAACATTCTGCTTAAGATAAAATGTTCTGAGAACACAAGTCAGTGAAAATAACAATATACTAGAAGGAAGGCCTGAATTTTGAAGATTGTGTTTCTTGAAATAAGAAAGATATAAATGTCTATTCGATACCTTACTGAATATATTAATAACAGGGATAATTTTCTTATTTATTAACCAACAGACATTTAGTCTTTTATAATAATTAGAGAAAATTTGCAGTATATATTGTAAAAGATGAGTCAAAGCATTGTTTCAAAGCAATTATATAATCTTGCTAGGAGCCAAGCACAGCACTAATAACCCAAGCTTTCAATTCGGTCTGACTCAGTGCAAAAGGGAGCTGAATGGAGGGAGGGCTATTCAGTACCTGAGTGTGCTGGAGCAGCTAGCAGCTGGAATTAATCTACAGCACAAGCTCTCGGGGCATTACTGTTTGTTTTTGCTTTAGCTGCATACTCCATTTTGTATTGTATTTCACAACTGCCTGGTAATATGCTGCCTGGACAGAGACATTAATCACAGCGTTGAGCCAGTTTTGTAAACAAGGACCAAAGCCTTCATTTAAAGGAGAGGAAGAGAAAAGTAAGTGGATGAGGGGTGGGAAAGGAAATGGCAGCTTGCACTGAGATGATATTCTGTGTATGACCTAACTCTGTCTTCAGTGCAATTTTAGCTTATTGCTGTGTTTGTGTACATTCCTTTAAAAAATTCTTACCTCACTGGACAACCTTGTACTTCTGCAGTATTCCAGCTGGACTAGGGCTCTTAGTGAACAAAATCCTGATGGTTGTAGCATTATTATACCAAGTACTTCTAAAACTCATGTTCAGAATACGCCAAAGATCTGCAACAAACTGTTTGACAAAATGTTTGATTTAAACTACAGTTTTAATGAAAATTTAAAGGTTCAAATTAAACTTCCCTCAAAGCCTCAAAAAGTGTAGGACGGAGCTTTGAGTCAAAATCCAGTCAAAGCTCTTCAGTCTGGGATGCTCACAGCCAGTATAAGAGTTTTAGAAATTGTGCTGGTCCCACCTTTTTCTCTCTCTTTTTTTTTTTTTTTTTTTTTTTTTTGGTTTGTTTGGTTTTGTTGTTTGTTTTTTTTTAATTCAAAAAATAAATACATTTTTATAAAGCCTTGGCCTAATTATAATATGAAACATTTTTTCTAAAACTCAATACAGAACAGGAGAGCAGTTTTCTAAGCAGTTTAATGCTGATCATGCCAGATAGCAATTGAATTGTCTCCTGAGCTGTTACCTGATAGGTATACATCATGAAAAAAATTAATTCTAAACTATATAGTAATGCCTAGTAGTTATCATAGCCTGTTTGTTTTAACAAGAAATGAATATTTTATGTTTTTTTCTAAATGCAATGGAAATGTATTATGGTATAATATTGATTAACACCTGTTTTAATTAACCTCTAACAATAACCTGAAAATTATAGGTGTGTACAGCTCTTTAATGATGAATTTTGTTTTCTATTAAGTTCAATGCCTTTACACATTACAAAAGTACAGGGATGAACAAACTGGCAGCATAGTTCTTTACACTTAATTTGTAATAAAATACAGCCATATACACATACGTGTTTGTGACTTCAACTGAAAACTGTGCCACATCACTCGGGTAACTCTGAGGGAAAAAAAGGTTTGATTACTTTGTTTCTCAGTTTTACCAGTTAGAGGAGGTGGGATGTAAACTTCATGTGCAAGTGAAAGGAGCTAAGGAAACTATATAAATCTTTTATTTAAACAGCTCCAAGGTTACTCATGGCCTCTGGTTATATGAAAAAATGTTTATGGAAAACAAATGTTAAATGGCAAAATATGTAGAAGATCAAGATGGTAACATGGGTTTGGGCTGTTCTGCCTCATGAGCATTTTTCTGGCAAGTTAACTTAATACTAAGGGCAGAAAAATCTATACATCTATGACATCTCAACAACCACTTTGAAGGAAAACAAATTTAGTACTTTATGTAGAGGTTCATTTCCCCACTTTATAGCCTCTGTCACAGCTGATACTTCCACCCTCTCAGCAAAGGAAAACACTGTTAGGTGTCACCAAATACGTCACTAGCTGCTTCTTCAGCTGTTTATAATTTGGCCAATTCCCACAGTTTTACAGTTCTTTCTACTGATTAACCATCAGCATAGTATTTTATCACAAGCTACTGCTGTCAGTTGCTGCTTTGTCTCCTTGTTTTGCTTTTGACCGTTGCTTGCAGCTGTCAATACACCCTTATGGAAAACTGATCGGAATACTACTGAGACACATGTTTTTTAAAGCTCTCAGAATGCAGCTAATTTTCTGCTCTATCATAGCTTAGTGTGAACTTTAACTCTTTTTCCCAGCACAACCCAAACCTGGGTGCAGTGCCCCAGAAGCGTCAATATTGACGTTGTATTGGGAACAGTTAGTTTTCTGGTTGAACCTCTTTTGTTTATACATCCGAATTAAGACAGGGGCATTCTCTATGGAAAATCCACACAGTTATATACAATAAGATTCCACACAATAAGTGTTTGCTAACTCGGCTTGTTTGGACAGAGCTGTAACAGGTAACGGAGCAGCTCTGACAGAAGTTTGCGCCGTGACCTCTAGCACAGCTGGATGTGAGAGGAGGATGTGTGCTGATCCACACTTTGGAGAACAACTCTGTAAGTGGCTTTCATGGCTTGTATACCGACTTTTTCCTTCTCATGTTAACTCCTTGCATTTCTCCTAGATGTGGATCTATCATATTTTGTAGTTTTTCCCTGTGTACTCACTATGACCTTTTTTCTGACAATGCTGCTTGCTTTTGGTGGTTCAAATCTTGTGAACAAATTTTTGAGGGCGGAAGAAATTATCCAAGGCCCAATTCTTGTGAGATACTCATAGTCACTCCTTTTTTTTTTTTTTTTTTTTTTTTTTTTTTTTTTTTTT